CACTGTGTACCCTTCTATCAGTTCCGCCAGGAAATAGAGTCCGGCCGCGACGGCCAGCGTGATGAAGGTCACCTGGATGAAGAGCGACAGCCAGCTCAGCACGTACATGAACCACATGGCGCCCCGCCCCGCCCTGACCGCCGGGAGGGTCCTGCGCGGTTGGGCTTGGACTACAGGGAGCCGCCGCCACCGCTATGGGCTGCCGCGGAGAGGAGCCGGGCTTTTTTTATTATTATTATTCTCACATATGTTTGACCTTCATCACTCTCCCTCACCCTCTGTCACTCTTTTCCTGTGCTTTATGAGGAAACAGCAAGAAGGCAGCCCTCTGAAGCCAGAAGAGAGCTCTCCCCAGCACCTGAGCATGCTGGTGCCCTAATCTTGGACTGCCAGCCTCCAGAACTGTGAGAAGATAAATTTCTATTTAAACCACCCAATCTGTGGTATTTTAGTATGGCAGCCTGATCTAAGACAGCTTGTCAAGATCCATAAGGTAAGAATCACTTGCATCTCTACCAATCAAAATTAACATTTAGGTCTATAGACAAGAGTGACTTGGCATTGCTATCAGTTTTCTACAACTTACAGAGTTGCAAAATAGCCCAAAGATGATGAAAGGACATAGAAAATTGCACTAGACAGGATACCTAGTAATCCTTCCTGGCAATTTCAAGCTCTCTCATAAGTTTCCCTGACATATCTAAACAACCATCTATAAGCTAATTGCCCTGAAGTCACTCCAGAGGAGACCTGCTGTCACCTCTTTTGATTAAATCTTTTTTATTCAAGCATAGGCAACTTTTGTTTGTCTTTATTACAAGTGCAATCCAAATTCATACCAACCAAAAGGAACACTAGGGAGTCAGAGCCACAAAGATGTCATCTTAGCACCCAACTTGGTCCTCACTAGCAAACTCTGGAACCCTCATGCCCTTCCTATTTTGTTAAGGGATCCAGGCTGCAGCGTTGTATAAGCTCTGCTATAAATGGTTATTCTCATCATGGCTAATTCAAGGCTTCAGATCCCCATAAGTTTTTACCTTGTAGTTCCCTGGACACCACTGATCTCCTTGGCCTCAGCCACTGCTATGTGACACCTTACTGAGGTCACCCATAATGTCATGTGAAGCTGCTTATTCTACTCTCCCAGTCACTCACTGACAAACAAAAAGGAACAAATGAAAGTGAAAAGAGCTAAAATTTATTGAGCTCTTACTATATGCCAAGCCTTTAGGTAGTATTCATTCTTTAAACTTATAACATTTTTGTTTCTGCTTTGGCAGTTAAAAGTAAATTGTACCTCCCCTAAAAGAATGTGCCCCAAATAAAATTAATTTCACATTTTTTAAATTTTTTAGTATCTCATACCTCATCCATATCTAAATTTTTCCAGTTGTCCAAAAAATAATGTCCTTTGCAGTTGGTCTATACAAACCAGGATCCAATCCAGGACAGTGCAACTAGAGGTCACGCTCCTTTAAGTCTTAATCTAGAAAAAGATCCCTCTTCATTGACTTCTTGCTGAAGAGGCAGGACTAGTTCTCCTATAAAATGTCATTCTTTCTGGATTTGTCTATTGCTTCCTCATGGTATTTATTTAACTTGTGTATCTACTATATTTCCTCAAAATTTGGATAGCTATAGATTTGATTCAAGTTCAATATTTTTGTCCAGATGGAATATATAATCAGAGGACATGTAATATCTGCTTGCCCAATCATTAGTGATGCTTAGATGATTTTTCGGCCCTCCAATGAGGCCACCAGCAGTTTACAAAACTTGGAGCTACATTAAGCCTTAAGATTATTTTGATGAAATAACCACCAACACACTTCAGAATCCTCAACAACCCATCTACAAATTAATATTTTGGAATACTTCCTTTTGAAAACAAACTGCCTATAGTAAATTTTAATTAAAAATGGACCTTCAACTAACGGATTACTTTTTTCCCTCCAGGCCAGTGTTGATTGCTGCCAACAGTGAGTGGGCCACGGCACAGCCCAATGTGAAGGCTGCAGTGACGGGGTCAGGCCTCTGATGTACATTTACCCAGTTTCTCCACTTTTCCTCTCACAGCCTTTCCTTATCTTTGTGGTTCTCCTCTGAACCCTTCGTGTTTCATTTCCCCCAGGGATCCCTAAAGTGAACACAACATTCCTAGCACATACTCTGAGACTCCGATCCTTTACTGCGTTTCAAGTTTGAGGATCTGTGGAATTAGCAATTGTGAAATGGACTTGAAAATTTGAATCAAGAAACTTAAATTCATAAGAAAATTCACTCCAAGGTTGGTTTTTAAGTGCCATCTTGAGTACTTTATTTTCAGTAGTTATCATTCAGGAAATCAATAATGATAATATGATGCTGAGAAAAGTAATTCTAACTACCATTACAGTAATGCTTAATGAGCTGCTGGAACCAGAAGTCAAAGAAAGTATTCCTAAATCCCAGAAGACCTGCAAATCTGTATCCAACCCACGTTCCAAGGAAAAGAAATAACCTTTGGAAGTCAAATTGAAAAGTGTAGTCAAATTAATTGATTATATGTTCATTAACTGTACAAAGCAGGGACTTAATCTTAATGTCAGGAAGAATTATCTTTATTGTGGCAAAATACATATCATATAAATTTATCATTTTAATCATTTTCAAGTGTACAGTTGTGGTATTAAGTACATTCACAATGTTGTGCAACCATCACCACAATCCATCTCCAAAACTGTTTCACCAGCCCAAACTGAAACTCAATCACATTAAACAATAAATCCTCATTCCTCCCTCTCCCCAACCCCTGGTGAGCACCATGCTCCTTTCTGTCTGCATGATTTTGACTACTCCTCTAAGTGCTTCTTATAAGCAGGATCATAAGTATCTGTCCTTTTGCATCTGGCTTATTTCACTTAATATAATGTCTTTGAGTTTCATCTATGTTGTAGCTTATGTCAGAATTTCATTCCTTTTTAGGGATAAATAAACATTTTGTTTATCGAATCATCCATACATGGACATTTGGGTTGTTTGCAACCTCTTGGCTCTTGTGAACAATGCTGTTATGAACATGGGTGTACAAATATCTGTTTGAGCCCCTGCTTTCAGTTATTTTGGGTATATATCCAGAAGTGGAATTGCTGGGTCATAGAGTAATTTTTATGTTTAAATTTTGGGAAACTGTTATACTGTTTTCCATGACTACTGCCCTATCTTACATTTCCATCAGCACAAGGGTTCCAGTTTCTCCACATCCTTGTCAACACCAGTTCTTTTCAGCTTTTTAATAATAGCCACCCTAGTGGGTATGAAGGAAGAATTTTTAATAACTAGATCTGCACTACAGTGGACTGAGCTGTCCAGGAGACAGGGACTGATGGATATGCTTTATCAAAGACTGGATAGACTGACATGTTCACTAGTGCAAGTTGTGCACTGTCCAAATATATCTGATCACAGGGTGAGTAGGGGCTGAAATCCAGCACACGTTTCACATGCCAAGGTGCAAACCCAGGTGTAGAGCTGCCCCTTCTTGGAGGAAGCAATAACTTGTCAGGTTCAGAGGAGCATCAATCAGAACATCAAACCTCAGAGGGAAGGTAGGGGAGAGATCAACCAAAAGACTTGTATGCATGCATATGAACCTAACCAATGGACAAGGACACAAGGGGGGTGAGGGCATGAGCGGGGGGGGGGGGGGGTTGGGAGGATAAGGACACATATGTAATAAATGTCAGCTGACCGGGTCATGTGCTCCAAGGGGCACCATCTCATCATGGGGATACTGTAATACAACAGATTAGTAATAATGAGTCCAATTGGTAGATGACTATTAAGGCCCCTTTCAATGGTGATACTCTGTGGATCTCTTTGATGGTTGTACAAAATGCCCCCCAAAGTGACACTGCACTGACAGTGGAATCGATATCCTCTCACCTTGCATCTGGGATCTGTGACTGTTTGGCTATAGAATTCTGCAGAAGTAACCCTTTACCAGTTTCCAGGCCCAGACCTTAAGAAACTAGCAGCTCCCACTTCCTTCTCCTGGAACACTCCTTCTTGGAACCTAGCCACCATGCTCTGAGGAAGCCTAAACCACTTTGTAGAGAGACGCCCATCACCAAGTAGGTGAACTATCTTGGAAGTGAAGCCTCCAGCCCCAGCAAAGATGAGCTGTCCTAGCCAAGACCCACCCAAATTGCAGACTGATGAGTAAAGTGGCCACTACCGGTTTAGGGTGATTTTCTTTAGTTACAGTAGATAACCAGAACAGTCTACAATATAATGTGACCATCCAGTCCTCCACATACACATTTCCACAATAAGCCTCACACCAACAGTGAACGAAAGAACTCCGAGGCAAGGCCTTCTCTAAGGAGCCCTCAATTATTTCTCACATGTCACAGGCAATGGCCTTTGTCTCTCATTTCCTCTCCCACTGCCTAATTTAGGATAAACTCACTATCATATAAAGATGCTAAGATCCATCTTCTGCAGCATCTGCACCCTCACTGTTTGGATCTCCAGAGGAATCATAGGTTTCTCTGAGCCACACACTGGACCCTCCATAGACTTTCCAGGGCTCCTGCTTTGTCCTGGGCTAGTAGCCTTTGGGTGCTGGCTTCAAGAGACAAGACAGAAGCAAAAGGTACTTGATCCGGTAAAATACAGTCCACGTGGGTTCTTCAACCTGCTCTGAGTTTAAGAGGGAACGTATAAGCCAAGCAAAGGGGCAGGGAACGCAGAGGTGGACCCTAGCTGCCTCTGTCTGCAGTGGCTCCATCACAGATCAAATCTGCCTGCATTTCCCAGAAAGGGAATGGGTTTCTCTGCTTGCCTTCCTCGAGTCGGGCTTGTCTGATGAACTATCCTCCTTCCTGGATTATCACCCCCCCACTACCCCCCACCCCCACGCCTTCATTTCAGGAAGGAAATAGTTAAAACAAGACTCCTGCCCTACAGGGCCTGGGAGGGGGCGGCTCTGTGCTTTATAGTGGCTGCCTCTAAGGAGGGCTGGAAGCTTAGGACGTTCTTTCTGTCCTAGAGTAAAGCAGAAGGTGGGGGAGATTTTGGAGGAGAAGGGGAGGCCAGACAGAGGGGGGGCGTGTGCTCCTCTGGAGTTTCCTTTTTCTTCTAGTCCTTGCGCGCGCAGTCATCCCTGTGGTCTGGCGATTGTGGATCGTGGTGGCGAGGCTCCATCCCCGCCGGTGGCCAGAGGCTGGGGGCTGGGGAGACCTCCGCACAGAAGCGGTGCCCAGGAAGTTTTCCGACGGAGAGGCAGCAGTGCAGCCCGATTGCTGCCGCGCGGGAGCCCAGGACCCAGGCCACCCAATCTCTCCGGCTCTGCTTCCTCTCGCCCAGCCGCCCAGGTGCCGAGCGGACCGGGCAGCCGTCTGCGCCCGCCTAGCTCCACGGTCGGTGCAACTCTTTCCTCTCGGGGACCCGCCAGGGGTGGGGGAGATGTCGCCTGAGCCCTTCGGTGGGGAGCAGAGAGAGCAGGCATCCATTCCGCCCGGCGCCCTGCACCTTGGGCGACCCTCCCACACGGTCTAGGGGTGCGTGGTGGCGCCGGCGCCTTCCTAGGAGGGGCTCTTTGCGGGCACGTCTGGGGTTTGAGGAACTGATTGAAAGCCCGCTGCCTATCCAGGTGGGATTCGGATTTTTAGTTAAAGGAAAATATATAGTTCTCCCTGGGTCTCCCTTTTCCCCCCGGGCACGCGAGAACTTTATGGATCATCACGCCCCTGTCGCAAGCTCCAAAGCGTACTTGTGAGAGGTGTCCCGCAGCCTTTTCTTACTCGCCTGCTTCTGCTCCCTGCACACCCGGGGTTGTCAAGGGCAGCCAAGGGCACTCGGTGTGCGGGACAGATGTTTTGGAAAACCCCCAGGGCAGCTGGTTTGGAAACCTGCCTGTGGATGTCTGGGCGTTTGGTTCTATGCTGTCCTTTAAAGGCCACTTGTTGCCTTTCACGTGCAGAAAACTAGGGCTGTTGCTAGATAATCAGCCTCTGTTTACACCATCCTAATGGCGTTCCGGATAGAGCTGGCGGCGGAGAGGGGTGGTGGGAGGCAAATTAAAGTCAGACATTGTCAGCAAGGACAGTTGCTAATATCTTACCCAGCGAGCAAAACCCACAGAGAACTTGGAGAAAGTACCTAGTTTTTTGTTTTTCCTCTTGTAGATACTCATGGCTTCCCTCGCTCTCCGCCTCCCCCCTCCCCAATACCTTCTGTTTTAAGTGGCAACTAATTGGGAAACATCTTGACAATCATTTCATGTAACTACCTGCTCTGAACTCAGACCATTTAGGTAAGGTTGGAATTTCCAAATTACTAATTACAGTACAGGTCCACTTTGATCCTGAGAATCAGAGATGTTAAATGGTTAAAGTGTAAGCATAAGGGTCCAGTCCTCTTCCTTAATAATAGCTTTTGAACTTAAGCGAATTCTTAGACCCCAAACAGAAGAATGCTGAATGTATAAACCATGTCCCTGAGGTCTGAACCTCAGAGGCTTCACTAGAGCGATGCCTGGGTATGACTGATTATTCCAAGCACAGCATGACTTAGATCCATGGAAATGAGCTGCAGGCTCATCCTTGGAGGAACATGCATTTGAAGGAGCTTCTTTTGTGTGGTTTTGTATTTTTCATGCAACATGTAGTATTCACATGCCTTTGCCAAGTATCCGGTAGCTCCGCAGCTTAACATGTAGAGAGCTGATGGAGGCACCATCAGAAATTATTTCTGTGGTGGTGTCATTGTTGCAGGGGAAGGAAAGTGGTTTTAATAGTAGCTAGCTCACACTTTGATAAGAACCCACAGCCTTGGCCTCCTTAGCTCCTGCTATAATCAGCTGACCAAGCAGACCAGCAAGCTAGTGTTCAAACACTAGTGGCACCTTTTGTGGGTGGCAGAATACGATAGCCAGGTCAGTTTACTAAATATCCTCTAACAGACTCTCATGGGCAGGGAGTCATTCCATTACTGAGAAAAGCCTTCTCTCTCTTAGTTTTAATAAAAGCATTAATGAAGGTTCCATTCTGATTGGGAAACTGGGAGGAGGCTTTAGTCATTAAACAGCACAAGATATTGAAGGATTTTTTTTCTCCCTTCTCTGATCTGAAGAGGATGACAGTATGCTTTGTTCTCAAAGTTCTGGTCTCCAATGCTGAATGGAAACAGGGTCTGTCAATATTAGGTTAGATACTCACTCCCCAATGTGAGAAGCAAGAAAAAAACTACTTATAAGTCCAGGCAGATTTGATATGTACATAGTATGCCCCTAGCTTAGAAAAATTGATGCTTTTTATCACTTTTTATTATTTATTTTTATAATATCAGACTGAGTCAAGTCCTATAAGCAAAGTAAAGTGAAGCACTCTATCTGCTGAACTGCTTTTTGGCCATGAAAAAGACTCAGTTCCCTTATGCATAAAATGGGGATATTGGCCCTGCCCACCTAGAGTTGTTTCTGAGATCTGTTTACTTTAGATCTTCTATACAACATGAATAAATCTCATTTCCTCCACATATTGACTACGCTTTATTGATAACTGTCAAAGATAACTCAAAATCCCTAAAAGTGGTTAATTCCAACCACGAATAAACTCAGAAAAAGGACACAATTTTTAAAAATTAAATTTTATGTCATAGACACACCCACCATTGATGGGCATAAATGAACTTAGGGCCTTCATTTTAAAAGATTGTTAAAAACTCACAAGCAAGAAAATACAAAACTATTTAAATGTGAGGAGCCATTTTTATTTACCTTTGCTTATTGTGTTACCACCAACCTCCCTCATTTTCCCATCTTTTCTTTAAGGATTAAAGTAGAAAAATGTAGACTTCCGGGGCAAGAAAGACCACTTGCTCTACAAAAGTGACTAAAACAAGCAAGCAAACAAACAAATGGTCTTTTGAAAACATCTCACCAACCTCTAAGTCCACTGCTTCACTGAAACTCTGGAGAATTCATTCAAACATTTCAGGTGCTAAGAAGGCATGAGAATGAGAGGCAGTGCAGGCTAGAGGTTAAGAGCTCAGCGTTGCATTAACTTGCCTTAGAATCACAGCATTGCCATCCACCACCTGTGCTTTTGACAAGCATCTTGACGTTCCTGAGCCTCTGGTTCCCTACCTTTAGAATGGAAAATGTACCTGCTTCACAGGGTCAGGGAGAGTATAGATCAGATGGCAACATGCCTATGGAGTGCCCAGCACCGTGACCAAGCATGAGACAGATATCCCTCAGAAAACCAATGGTGTGCCTGCCTGGGAAAGTCCATTACTCCCAGTTTCACTTGTTGGCAAATATCATGCCGATAATTTCTGAGGAATGGAAAAACCCAAAACTCCTGTCAGAAGATGTACTAGTAGATTGTACACATTAATCATCAGGGTTTTCAATAAAAATAAATATTTTGTCTTTATCAGTTATGTCATGTTTATTTCAAACTAGTAGTAAAATTGTTATATGTAGAGATGGTGTTAACCAGAGTTCTGATTTTAAATTAACATTGCGTAATGCTTTAAATGGCTACCTATGCTGCATTTTATTACCATGTTCATTATTTACCATGTGCAAACATATTTTGGAATATTGGATTCTTAATTATACAATTGATAATCTTATGCCTTAGCACAGCGGTTCTCAACCTGTGGGTCGTGACCCCTTAGGGGTCAAACGACCCTTTCACAGGGGTCGCCTAAGACCATCGGAAAACACATATATAATTACATATTGTTTTTGTGATTAATCACTATGCTTTAATTATGTTCAATTTTTAACAATGAAAGTATATCCTGCATATCAGATATTTACAGTATGATTCGTAACAGTAGCAAAATTATAGTTATAAAGTAGCAACGAAAATAATTTTATGGTCGGGGGTCACCACAACATGAGGAACTGTATTAAAGGGTCACGGCATTAGGAAGGTTGAGAACCATTGCCTTAGCACTATATAACTTTTACTCAGCATTTAATACCTTTTCTTTTCCACTAGTAAAATGTATGTCAACTCTCCAAGATTTTTGTAATTCAGGTTCTTAGCAGAGGTATAGTGGATGGAAAACAGCAGCTTTTAAGCTACTTCTTAAAAGAAAACTGACATATCCTCATGCGTATTATAATATAGATATAAGTATAGCTGTGAACAGAGATGAGAGAGAGAGAGAGAGAGAGAGAGAGAGAGAGAGAGAGAGAGCGCTCTAATAGAGCTTTGCTCTTTTCTGATTTTGTTCTGCTTTGGGATAAGCTGACATAGATATATCTTATCTAATTACCAAATATATCCTGCTTTTTAACTGGAGCAGTAAATAATCATTGACTGCAGTCTTACTGGCAGCTGGATTTTGTAACCAAAATTATTTTTCTTTTTTTTTTTCTAGGTTGAAAAAAAAAAGTGAGGGTGAAAAATCAACAGAATAAGAGACATTTCCTCAAATTTGCATCAAGATGGAAACCTTTTGCTTCAGGGTGTCCTTTTGGGTGGCACTGGTTGGATGTGTAATTAGTGATAATCCTGAGAGCTACAGCACAAATCTAAGCACTCATATGGACGATTTTACCACTTTTCGTGGGACAGAGCTCAGCTTCCTGGTTACCACTCATCGACCCACTAATTTGGCCCTACCCAGCAATGGCTCAATGCACAACTATTGTCCACAGCGGACTAAGATTACTTCAGCTTTCAAATACATTAACACCGTGATATCTTGTACTATTTTCATCGTGGGAATGGTGGGGAACGCAACTCTGCTCAGAATCATTTACCAGAACAAGTGTATGAGGAACGGACCCAACGCGCTGATAGCCAGCCTTGCCCTTGGAGACCTTATCTATGTGATCATTGATATCCCCATCAATGTATTTAAGGTAGGAAGTAACCACAAATGTATTTGCAAGTTTGAGCATATGCTCTGATTCTACAGTAAGAGAGTTGCTGCAGACTTTTCTGACCTTCTGGAGTTTAGTCTGTTTTTACTGAGAGCAGTTTCTGCTATCTTACAACTAGTGGCTTTTTAAATGTTTATTATTTGTGAAATGTTACACTTAATTTTCTAACTTAATTGTTAACCAAATAGTATTGCAGGAGTGACTCCTCAAAATGAAGGCCTTTCATGCAGCATCGGCTTCTTATTGCTGTGTGGATAGGCAATTTTGGAGAGATCACTTAATTTCTGAGATTTAATTTTCAGGGTGAGACCTACTGAGCCCAAAAAGTGCTCTACATAAATATACTCAGTTGCAGTTAACCCTTTTAATGTAATGTTCTGCAGAAGCCCAATGTCCACACTATGGCTTAGAAGGAAAAGCACCAGTTTTATTTTGACTAGATTGGAGCCCAAGCACATGCTAGCTTCCTTGGTTATCTGGGTGACTTAGAGATAATAGGATCCACATGATTGCAGGCCCCTGGGGACCTCAGTGAGCAGTATTACTAAACTGTTTAAAATAAGCATCAGTTTACCTTTGCCTCTTTCATTTCTTCAGTTTACATTTGAGGAGTGCCTACTGTGTGCCCGCCCCTGAGCTGGGCAATGGGCTCCAAAGACAAATTAGACAAAGTTAGTGAGAGAGGAGGATAACTCACCCGCTGCTGTGGTCACCTTGCTTTCAGGATGAGTTACTACCAAAACAAACTAAAGCCAAAAGGAATTATATATTACATATTTGATTTCTGGATGTAAGGGGGAAATTGCTGAAAGAATTCAAATGAACTAAAATTCAAATGAAATCACGATCTATGCCAGATATTCTGGAATGTCTTTATTCTAAGCCCAGAAAAAAACACTTTCTTCAGCCTTTATTTTTCTCTTCTCTGTATTAGCCATAGAAATGAAACAATTCTGAGCAATCATATTCTGAAATAGGACTTTAAATGGCAAGTTATGTCAATTGAAGACATAGCTTTAAAATAGACCAATAGCTTTCAGTTTCCAATAGATACACTTAAACTGTGACAAAATTTTATTAATGTACCAGGAAAATCAGTGGGCTAACAATAAAGTTGTAAGCAATGATTACAATTTTCAACACTACAAATAAAAAACATTTCAACATTCCTTCAATACACTGCAAAATTGGGGAAATTAGGCAACAAATAATATTTTTTTAAAAAATCACATATCATCTCTTTCCACAGAATAGCATGAATACATGTGTTTTCTATTTGAAATTAAAATGGGATTTTAGAACCAAACAATGATGCAAATGAAAATGTGTAATTAATTTAAAAGGTTTAACGTATGCTAGAGAACTTCAATTTTTTTCTTTACAAGGTTATTTTCTCTTTATGAAGTATTATGTGTACTCAACACCCACTTTCTTGTGACATATTTATTTAATCATAGATTTAAAAATGTTGATATGGCTCATTCAAAATTTGACTCTTCAGCAGTCATGGTGTGGAGTAATAAACATTAATTATTCATGTTTATGTACCAGTTAACCAATCCATATGGCTCAGGAGAATAATTAACCATCTCTGAATTAGTCCCATTTGGCCATGCGCAAAGCAGCTTCTTGACAAATCAATATCTGCAATTGCTGGGAAGGGGACTTGCTTGTCGATTTAAGGTGCTACCTGCCAATCAACAGACCAAACTTCATTTCTATTCCATAGTAACATTTTAAGTCAGATCATGTGGACTATCTTCAAATTTGTTGAAAATCCAAAAAGAAAAAGCCTTTGTTTTACATTCATATAATAATGGATAAAAATTAATTCATTCTTATTTGACTATATGGTTCTTACCTCTTGGGAATCTAATATGGTCAGCCCTCTGTATCCACAGTTTCTGATTAAGCAGACTCAACTGACTACAAATTGAAAATATTCAGAAGAAAAGGCTATGCTGTTGCAGACATGACTATGTAGTTAGGCGTACAATGGTTGTGTCAATGATTAACATATACAGACTTTTCTTCTTGTCATTATTCCCTATATAATCCTATCTAATAAAAGAGAAACATGGTAATTAGCGTACGACCGCTACCCTTCCCATTGGCTAATCAGGGTAATATGCAAATTAACTGCCAACAAAGATGGCGGTTAATTTGCATACATAGGCACAATGATGGGAGGCCATAGGGGAAGGATGGTGATTGGAAACACAGGCGGCAGGCAAGAGCCGGGAGGCACTGCCCCTGGCCCTGAATCGGAGAACCAGCCATCTCTGCCTGCCCCCCTGCCAGTGATCAGAGAAGCCAGAGCGGGACATGGAAGAGGCCGGCACCCGCCTCTTTCCTGGCTGCCCCTGCCAGGGATGAGCAACCGGAGATCCCACAGCAGGAAAGGGGAGCCTGCAGCCATCCCCTGTGTGCAAATGCCTGCCCATGGGATCACAGATGGGATCCCACAGCAGGATAGGGCAGCCTGCAGCCAGCCCCCCTGTGTGCCTGCCCCTGGGTTGTCCTGGTGATCCCACAGCAGGAAAGGGTGGCCTGCAGCCAGGCCCTGTGTGCACCTGTCCCTGGGTCACCATGGCGATCCCACAGCAGGAAAGGGCGGCCTGCAGCCAGCCCCTGTGTGCACCTGCCCCTGGGTCGCTGCTGTGATCCCAGAGCAGGAAAGGGCGGCCTGCAGCCAGGCCCTGTGTGCACCTGTCCCTAGGTCGCTCTGGTGATCCCACAGCAGGAAAGGGTGCCCCACCCTGGCCACAGCTCAAGGGAGAGTACAACATGCAGTGGAGGCCAGGAGCATGAGAGATCAACAGAGAGGGGCGCCTCCCAGGTGTGGCTGGGGGCAGGCCCCCAGCAGACACACACACACACACACACACACACACACACACACACACACACATACACGGGACGCCTGCACCGAGCCTCTGCTGCCAGACTGTGGCCATCAGTAGGACATCTACTGAGGGCTCCCGGACTGAGGGGCTGGCTTGGCTGAGGTAACCCCATCCCCCAGTGCACGAATTTCGTGCACCGGGCTTCTAGTCTATATAATAAAAGCCTAAGCAACCATTAAGGCAGAACGACCAGTCGCTATGATGCGCACTGACCACCAGGGGGCAGATGCTCAACACAGAAGCTTCCCCCAGGTGGTCAGTGCACTCCCATGGGGGAGTGCCGCTCAGCCAGAAGCCGGGCTCATGGCTGGCAAGTGCAGCGGCAGTGGCAGGAGCCTCTCCCGCCTCTGTGGCAGCACTAAGGAGCAGTGAGCTGAGCGGTAAGGAGCAGCAAGCAGACAGGCGGAAAGGAGCGAAGGGTCCCAGACTACGAGAGGGATGTCCAACTGCCGGATTAGGCCCGCAGCAGGTGGATGTTCCCCAAGGGCTCCTGGACTGCGAGAGGGTGCAGGCCGGGCTGAAGGACCCCCCCTGCACAAATTTTGTGTACCGGGCTTCTAGTACAGTATAACAGCTATTTACATTGTATTAGGTATCATAAGTAACCTAGATATGATTTAAAATGTACAGGAGGATGTATGTAGATTATATGCAAATACTATGCCATTTTATATAAGGGATTTGAGCATCCAAGAATTTAGTTATTGGTGGGGTCCTAGAACCAAATGCAGATACTGAGGGATGACTGTACAGTAATACCTACTATAGTTTTAAATAATGTAGACAGTGTGAATATGGTGCTTTTGCCTCACAGGAGTACATTTGTGTAATTTCTATTTTTCTAAAACTCATATAATGAGTTATTTAACCAACATTACTTTTAGAAAATAAACCTTTTGGTTTCAACAAAAATACTCTTTAGTCATTTCAATCTTTTTTAGAGGAAAAAAGAAAAGCATTTGAGTGAGCTTAAAATATTGGTGGAGCTATTTCTATTTGCTTCTCTCCGTCTTCTTCTCTAGGTTAGGAGGCCCTAAGATATTGCTGCTTCTCTGACTTCTGTCCACAAGAGTCAAGAGAAATCCTTCCAAGCAATGTGAGTGCCAGGTCCTCACGCCTGTGCTCCACAGCTGTCTCCTGCTGTAAGATTCTGATGCTTTGGGGTCTCACATAATGGGCCTGTGACTTCTCTTCAACTATGTTAAACTATCTCTTTACTTCAGGGCAAAGTAGCAGCTGTCCATCTCACTTTACTATTATGCTTAGGTATCCATGAAATGAAAATAATGTGTAGACTTGGAGAACATTCTGTGAAAAGGATGCATGAAGTTTTCCCCCTACCCCCATTAGAAGAATTAGGTTGAAAGAGGAATGTGAAAATATTTATTATGCTCTTTAAAGAACAATGAGTTTTCAAATCACACAGGTTATTGTATGTAACAATTCTATCAGTTGCTTTTATACGCAGTTCCAAGGTGTCTCCAGGCAGAGAACATTACCCTGAGTCTAGAGCCAGCCTAAGTGGAAGGAGACAATGTGAAGATTGCATCTTTGGGCAAGGCAGACTTGCTGATTAGACTGCAGTAATGTTACAAGTGATTAATTGTTCCTTCTATTCACATTTTATTCCCTTTCTCTAACTTTGAAATAGATTGTACTGAAAATGTTCCATATATGAATGTGATGTAAAACACAACTGAAAAGCAAAATGGCTGAGCTGTTTCTAATCTGTCATTATTCCATTCGGCTAGTGCAGGGTAGCTCTGGACAGTCTGTGGGCATGCAAGAGGGGATCACTCCACACAATTTCCAAAAGTTTCCAAAAGATCTCTACATCTTCAGGGTTTCTTCCTACCGGCCTGTACTGGACTTTGCTTCTATTTATTGATTGAATGTAACTCTACCCAAAACACCCAGGAGCTCCCATGTTTAGTAGTCAAGGCCCTCCCCACTCTGGACATACTTTACCTACTTCTTAACCACTTCATGCTCAGCTCTGTCGAATTCCTTCACTATCCCTAAGTAACATGCTGTGCCCTAAATAACATTCACAGAGAGGTGGAATAGAGTCAC